TGAGAGCTTCTAAATTTATTCCATCGCATAATATATTTTTTATTTTACTTCCAAGTTAGTGCACGCGCATAGGTTAACATTATAATACAAAATTCGTACCTACAAATCTACTAGTAAATACATTTTGAGAAGGCCTATGAAGGTAATAGCATTTTCACAAATATACAGTACCAATAGCTTTATGGAGCTTGTTATAATGAACAAAGAAAGAAAGGGTTAAAAGGTTTAAAATAATCGAGGCATCCTGCACAATAGTAATGTATGCGTTATCTCACTTTCTAATCTATAATACGTACAATTACCATTTTTCAAGCACCTATATGTTGAGAAACCAATGTGTTTTATATGCATATATTAAATTTTTTAAACGGCATCTAACGCCCTCAAATTTTTATTTGTTTAATGAAAAAGTAATTTTTTTTTTTTAAATTACAGTATTCTTATAATATGCATCTCTATTGGCTAACAAGAAATCTAATATTTATCGCTGCATTATTGTGCAGGTTTATATCTAGCATTGGTAAACACGTGTTCTGCGCATTACGTATTCAAGAGGTTTTATTTCCCTATTGAGAGTAATTAAAATTTTTAATCCTAATGTCACCAAAATACTATCAAAATTGTAGCACAATATCATGCATGATACCCGGGTATTATTATGTAAGAAATCTTTATTAGATTTATATTCTGTATTTTTTTGTTATTAAATATCAATTAACTAAGCAACTAGTCGATTAATTGATTATTGGATTGTCTATCAATCAATACTTGTCTATCAATCAATACTTGTCTATCAGTCAATACTTGTCTATCAGTCAATACTTGTCTATCAATCAATACTTATGTTCAATCATTAACATTTATATTTATTTGGAAATCCTTGGTGGTCGTAAATCAAACCTATATGTAGTTACTTAGTAATTTAATGCATCAACGATCCTATGTAGAGTGTAATAGGTTATTAAGATGTTTTTATATATAAAATTTGTTCTTTTAGATGCACAAGTTGGATTGGTTTTTTTTCTGCTTATGATTCAATGATATATTTTTTCAACTATTTTAATTGGATTGTTTTACTCGGTTGGCCGGGTAAATTCTTAAATTTATAGGTAAATTTTTTCAAAGTTCGTTCTGTAGTTTGGTTCTTTGAAACTTTATGTCAGTATTTTCGAAATCTCACTTTAGAATTCCTGGTCGTTAAGTCTGTGCACCTAATTAAATATATCATACAATTTAATGTTGCTACACAAAAAAATTCGATAATATATTTTTTTTATTATACGTGCTACCGCTACATGTCCCAAAAAAATTGTTCACCCCCTGTAATTTTGACCAATCGAATTTTAAGATCAGGTAAAAATGTTTTCTCGTGAAATTCTACTACGGTTGTCATAACACAGGTTTCTTAGAAAACAAAACAAGTTTGTTTTGACTATCTTGTTACACCTGATCTTAAATTTTGATTGGGAACGCTACTAAGATTATCAATATAAGTTTTGATTTAAAAGGATATCGACAACCCCAACAATGGCACAGTGATCACGCCTTTTTTGCAAACCGCAATAATCAACGGATTTACTTATTTGCGCCGGTGATACAATCCCAAAAAAGGAAAAAACTAATATTATTTTTTAATTTGCGTAAATAACGCGTGAGAGTCACGGTGTTAGGGTTAATGTATACTAAAATTTTGCGAAAAATTTTTTTTATTACGTAAAACGTAAAATGGTGGTTCTTATGTAGAATTTTGGGCTAGCGACGATCTACATAAGACAATTTCCTTATTTGGGTTTGTATCACCGGCGCGGCGCAAATAAGTGTACAACTAATCGATTATTCGTGATAATCGAAAAATATTCAACGAACTAATCGTGCTCCGATTCATAACATTAGTCGGAATTTCATTATTTTTGTAGATCATCCCGTGATAGAGTTAATCAAAGTTCTAAACTTCAATTAAATCGTCACAAATAAATCTATAATGAAATTAATACCAGCAGAATTCTTATCATAATATCTCGATAATTTAAATCTAAACTATAATCTTGTCAGACAAACCAAAATTTTATTAATGAAATGATCCTAACATATTACAAATCAAAAAAAAAAAGGAAAATACAAGAAATAAATGATTGAACCTATTCTAAAACACTAATCAATAATAAAAAATAACTTTTAATACCTGCTCCAATATCAAACTGATCTTTAATTTATATCTTTGAAATTTCTAAAGTTATCCATGTTGGACAACCATTGCATATTCGTGTAACAAAGATGCATATCGGATTTAACGTTTAGTCCTTGTTAGACCTTTTTAGATCTTTAATAAAATTCCTATAAAGTTTATACGACCATTGAATAATGGGTTAACTATTTCATTGAATAATCGATTGAATACTTTTTACGTATTGAAAAATGATCAAATACTTTAAGAAGTATTAATATCTCCATCATTTAATGAAGGGTTTAGCTTGCTATATTGTAGTCAGGTTTCTATATTATGATGAATAAAATATGTAAATACTGCTTAAATTGCCGAGTTTAATTGATTAATTGTATCTACAAGTTTAAACACGTTCAAAACATACCTCTCATATAACTTCCGAATTACTTTGTGAATTATCGAAATTACTTTGATAGTTTATAAAACAAGGTAATATAATTAAAGATTTTTTTTGGTATCGCTTGGCCAATTTGTATCTGTGGCTACCAATCTATTTTTGTAACGCGAAACGTTACGCTAATATTAGATATATTTAACATTCCGATCTATCAGCCAATAAAATTTATTCTGCCGATACTAGGGTTCATTATATATGAGTTCCGAAGAGACCTTTTTTTTTTTGTGAAAACTTTTTTTTTCTTGTTCTTCTCGATCAACTTTTTTTTGCAAAAATGAATCCTAAAAACATAATATTTATTATTTTTTTTGTTGTTGTTTTTGCTTTTTTAAGCTTGATCAATGCTACATCAAATAATAATGATAATGAGCATCCAAATTTTATCCGACATGAACCAGAATTAAATACAACTGATGTACCAAAAAATATACTTGTTGTTTCTATGCTTGGAGGTTGTATATATATTTAATACATTAATTGATTACTCATTAATATAATCTTGACCCTTTAGAAGCAAATACCAATTTTTTCTATCGGCATTAAAGACTAAGCCTAATGTCTGTAAAATTGCCGGTTAAATCAGTTTAGTTAGTTAGATTTTTAATATTAAAATTTCGGGATTTGCTTTTAATACGTAGTCAAGACCATTATCCCATCTTTAATCGTAAATATTTATTAATTTCTATTCATTTCCTGTTTATTTAGGATCTAGTCAAATTATTCCAATGTTAGAAATTTGTAAAATTTTAAAAGAACGTGGTTATAAGGCATGTTTTTTTTTTTTTTTTTTTTTTTTTTTTTTTGAGAATTAACATTTTACATAATTTTAATTATTTTCAACAAATATATATATATCGACATATAATTTTTTTTTTTTTTAAAAAAAAAAATAGATAACTTTAGTAGCTCGCGGCAATTTTACAGCTAAATCAATTGCATATCGATCAATTCCTCAAATTATCATCGGTCCTACATTAGATGCGCGTTCATTCCCAGAATTAAAAAGTTTATACACCGAAAAATTTACATATAAAAAGTTATGTTTTGCGAAATCAATATTTAATAAACTTTATATTAACGGTTTTAATGAATTAAAGAAAATTGCAAATGATGTTAAAGCAGACATGTTCATATGTGGTTATAAATTCAATGAACCTTGCTTTGATTTGGCATGGAAATTAAAAAAACCTGTTGTTTCAATTGGAACTTCTATGAATCGTGAGTAAATTAATTTTTAATTTTGAACTAAATATACATTATATAATATATAATATAATAAATTATATATATATATATATATATATATTAACAGTTAATAAATTAAAATATCGAATTTTTACACATATTTTAGCATTCACGATGCCATTTTATAAATCTGATCCAATTCTTGGATGCAAATCGAATATGGAAAATGAACCATTTTATGAAAGATTTCGATGTTCCTTAATCATGCCTTTAGTTCTATTTTGGAATGTTAAGGATGTATTAGATGATTTAAATTATTATAGAGCTAAAGTTGGTGTGAAACCTACTTATAGTATTTTGGGTGGCAAGAATGTTTTATTTTTGGTTAATAATTTCTTTGGATTTGAGGTAAGCATGAATTATTAAATCTATGGGTGAATGTATAAATAGATGAATGAGAATGTATAAATGAACGAATGAATGAATGAATGAATGAATATTTAAATGAATGGATTAATATATAAAATATATAGTATGTACAATATTAAAAATCAACAATTAATAATTTTTTTTTTTTTTTTTTTATACGTAGACACCATTCGCCGTGCCTCCACTTCATCAAGAAATTGGACCAATCTTACCAGATATTTATCCAGATTTATCACCATCACTTTCTGAATTCCTTGAAACTCATCCTAAAACAATGTATTTTACTCTTGGAACTCAAGCATATACTACTCCTCAAAATTATATTATTTTATTACAATCTTTTATCGAATTAATTAATCAAAATATTCTTGATGGTATAATTTGGTCTACCGTTAAAACTGATATTTCTGAATTACCTCCTTTTATTACTCTTTCTTCAAATATTTCTATCCCTACTTCTAATATATTAAATAATTTATTTCCAAATATTTTTGTTACAAATTTTGCTCCTCAATTTGCTTTATTATCTCATAAACATTTAAGAGTTTTTTTAAGTCATGGTGGTTCTAATAGTTGTCATGAATCAATGTATACTGCTACTCCAATGTTATTATTTCCAATAATAGATGATCAAAATAGTAATGCCGAAAAATTGGAAGATGCTGGTATGGCTTTAAGACTTTCTAGATTTAATTTGGATGTTAATGATATTATATTCAAAGTTAAGAGATTATTAACTGATGAAACTTTTAAAATGAGTGCAAAAAGAATGCAAATTTTAGCAAAAATTAATAGTAAAAGAAAATATAGAGGTGCTGATTTAATTGAGGTTGTATTAAATTCGGTAAAATATAGAGGTAATAAGAGTGATAATGGTGAATGGAATGTTGATAATAGTATTTTATTAAAAGATTTAATTACTCCAGATACGAGAATGGGTTTTATTAAAGGAAATTATTTTGATGTTTTAGCTTTTGCATTAATTATTGTTATAATCTTAGTTGGTGCTCTTGGTTACGGTATTTGGAAATTGATTTATTTGGTTGGGAAATCTGTTGGGAAATTAATTAGCGTTAAGAATTATGCATATTTAAAATCTAAAAAAGAACAATGACTTTGTAAATTTATAAATTTATAATTTTGATTTTAATGATTTTAGTTTTATGATTTATAATAATTAAATGAAATTTATTAATAAATTTTTTGTTGCAATTTATTTTTATTTTATTTTTTCACTTTATTTTGTTAAATCGCAACGAAAAAAAAAGCAACATAAATCAAAATAATATCCATTATATAAATGTAACCAAAAAACTATACTACAAAAGAATTATTAATATATCTAAATATATAAAATGGTAAATCAAAAAAAAAGAAGGCTTTAAAAATTGAGTTTTTATTTACCATCAAAAAAAAAAAAAGAAAAATAATAATATTTAACAAGAAAAAGGATAAATTTCAATTTTTTATGTTACAATTTTATATAGGCCTGCCTTAATTTTACAAATCAATTTCCGTTTTCCACCACAATTTCTATTTTTTAATATGACTTTTAGTTATTGATATCAACAATAGATGGTTTTCTCGCTAAACAATTTCCATTTCCACCACCACCATTTCCAGATGTTAATACATCTCTGGTCAAGTCTCCTAAAAATGAGACACCCTTATAAAGAAACCCATCAAATCCAGAATCATCATTAGATTTTTGATCTACAACATTTAACATTTCATTATGAGTGTTAGTTTGTTCAAATCCATATCCATATTGTTCTTGTGATCCAACAAGTGATGAAAGTCTTGATGGATTTATTGATGATGCCGGTGTAGATACTGATATTTGGTTCATTGACATACTAGATGTACTGGACGCTGATAATGGTGTGCCACAGTCACTAATACCACTTATAGATGGTTTCCTCGATTTTCCTGTAGGTAACTTTAATAAAGATGGTTTACGTTTTTGAATAGATCTAACAGGTGTCTCTTCAACTGGTGATGGTTTAAGAGATGATGTCGATTTTTTCTTTAAAAGTGATTGTCGTTTGTCGCGTGTATGAGTATTGATTGTTAAATCAGGTTTATTACGTGATGTAGGTGTCGAAATTGGTGAATTCAAGGAATTACATTCAATAGGTTCTGCCGTAATTGTTTGTAATACGAGATGTGATGGTGTATTATTATTAGGTGCTTGGTTATTGAGTACCTGTGAATTAATTTCAATATCATCATCAAAAGCAACAGATTTACGATTTTCTGATGATATTCTTCCAGATGCAATGTCATCAAGATTTCCTGCTGAAAGACGACGAATATCTGCTCGATTATTACGTGCCTCAAAATAACTTGTATCTTGCTCATCTTCAGGATTAGGTACGAAAGGTGCCGGTTGTTGACGAATATGTTCCCAATCAATTCCGTTAAAAAAAGGATGTGCTTTGATTTCATCTACACTAGGTCGTTTTTCAGGCGTTTTATTTAATAACTTTGAAATAAAATCTTTGGCTTCTGTAGACAAAAATCCTTCAGGTGGCCATTGAATATCATTGTCTAAAATGTTTCTAAAGATTACTTGCGGTGTATCATCATTAAAAGGAGGATATCCAACCAGGAATTCAAACAGACATATACCAAGGGACCACCAATCTACCGCTGTTGTGTGCCCAATACCAAGAAGTAACTCTGGTGCAAGATAATCTGGTGTACCTAAAAGCGCCTTGGAACTTTGTCTAGTCTGCTTTCTTACTAATTTTGCTGATGATGATGTTTGGGTAGAAGTATTAGCTGAGGTCTGTGGTTCTATATTATGAAAATTAATATGAACAGAAGTTTTTGGACTTTCATTGGGAAAGATAGAAGAAACTGGGCGGTGACCATTAGAGTTGGTACGAAAATCCACACTACCAGCTCTCATACTTTTTGACTTTTTATCAGGTCTATTATTTGATTCTCCTTCTTTAACGAATGTAATACTACTTTTTTCAGGAATTGATATCCTGGACAAGCCAAAATCAGTAAGTTTTATATGACCTTCGGAGGTAATAAGCATATTGTCAGGTTTCAAGTCCCGATGGGTTATGCCATTTTTGTGGAGATATTCGAGCGCTAATACAACTTCTGCTGTATACATACGCGCCATATCTTCCTCAAAACGTTCAAAACATTGAAGAAGAGATGATAAATCACCACCAATTAGATATTCCATTACCTAAATAATTATATGTATTGTATAAATGGTAAGTAAATAATACACAAGCAAATCAATAAAATAAATAAATAAATAAGTATCACTTACCAGATATAAATAATCCTGGCTTTGAAACGCGTAAAACAATTTAACCACAAAAGGAGTTCTTGTCAAACTAAGAACTCTTCTCTCCGCAAGTACATGATTTACCATATTCTTGCGGACCATATCTGCTTTTTTCAAAATTTTTATCGCATAAAGATCACCAGTTGTCTTTTTTCTTGCAAGATAAACTTTACCAAAAGCCCCTCGACTAATAGGCTTTATTATTTCAAAATCTTGAATACTTGGAACTCTGGTCTTGGCTCCCTGCAATATGATATATTATGAAAAAATATTTAATTACAGATATTTATAATATTTATAATATTTATAAGTAATATCATATATATAATATATAATATATAATATTTACCAATTTGTCGCCATTAACCGATGTACAATTAGAATTGTTAGCATCCTTACTCGGAGAGTTACTACCACGACCATTTACTCCACGTAAAATAGCGGTAAATAAAGAAATCAATTTTTTCCCACTACGTGAAGGTAAAGGACTATCTGAATCTAAAAAAAAAAAAAAGATTAAACAGTTTAATAATAAACAAAAATAGTTTCTTTAGTCAATTGACACAAAAATCAAAGATTTACATACCATATGAAATTGATCCAGTACTTTCCTGCCGTTTATGAGATAATGCCAAATCCTTTTGGCCATTATTATTACGTTGTCGATAAGAACTTGAAGGCCTTGATAAAAAGTTCGATGATGCTTTACTTGATGCAGATGTTGACAACACTCTACTTGATATTGATTGTTTTCGAGCAGTTTTTTGAGGTATTTGTAAAGCAGCAGTTTCCATTAGAGTTGATATAACAACTGAGGAAGGTGCAGTAATAACGGGTGTTCCACAATTTGAAACAGATTTAATTGACCGTAGTTTTCGGAAGTATGCTTGTAATGTTTCATGTTTCTCTTCGACCTAAAATATTGATAAGCTATTTAAGTAATTTATAACATAATGTTAATATTAACAATAATACCTACAACATGAAGTAATCGCTTTCCATAAGTTAATAGTTTTTCATCCTTTGTAGCGATTTTTTCAACATCTTCTACCAAACGTCCTAACTTAGTCGCATATTTTTCACTTTTTCTAAGTGCTTCTCGACGGTTTAACGTTTCCTTAATGCCAGCAGCTCTAATAGAATTAATAGAATTAATAGAATTAATAATATTAACAGTGAAACAATAAATAAAAAAAAACAATTTACACATATATAAAGAATATTACTTTAATCCGATTTGTTCCATCAACTCGGCATCTTTTATATTATAATAATCTTGATAAGATACGTTTTTTTCCTTAATATAAAACAAGAGTTATTACATTTATGAAAATTATATATATATATATATATATATTTAAATTATTAATTTAAAAAATTGATTAATGAATTGATTAATGAAAACCTACAATCAGCTCAATCTTTCTTTTCGATACATCTCCAACTAATCTATTAAGTCTACCATCGCATTCTTTTAATTTAATCGCATATTCTGTTGTAATGGCACAAGTTTCAGAATGTGCGGCCATTTCATAACTAGGAATCATTTCTTCACAAATACGGCACAACATATAATCATTTGGAGCCTGAAAATATGGAGTTGCGACACTGTGACTACCAATAAGATTATTATCACCTTTAAGTTGTACCGAAGAATTACGACGAGATACTGCAGTTAATCGTGAGTCGATAGAAAGCGTTCGAGATTGTTCATTTGGTGAAGGTGGCTGAGTCGTGTTACGAATGGGACTTGGTTGAATGATCGATTTAGTCGGTGATCCTGCAGGCGATACTGCAGTAGATGATGAGGGACTCTGAAAAGCATTCTTTAACGACTTAAAAAAACCAATCACCATTTTCGACTATAATATTTAAAATAAAATTAATTAGTTAACTGACAATTTTTTCAATTTAAATAATTATATGATAATATTATATTACTTTTTTCGATTTTTTCTTCGATTCTGGATCTACATCCTGTTGTTTTTTTAATATTATACCATAATCAATTTCTCTATTCATTTCTTCATGAATCATTTGATCAACTTGTTTTCTTGTTAAGCTATTCCAAGTAAAATGCTCATCCATATTTGTGAGAGGGGAGACATACATTATTGGACTCTCAAATACAGCTTCCATAGCAAGTTCACGACGCTGTTCGAGAGAAACTATTGGGTCACGTATTATTGGAGGAGTCGTAACGTGACGAGCCAACGGTGACGAATATAATGGAGGTGGTAAAAGGGTATGGGATTTAATATTTCCATCAAGTTCGGCATAAGATTTACGTCGTTCTTGTATTTGAAATAATGTTCGTGGAGGGGAATATGATGAAGGGGTTAAAGGAAGTGGAGATGGAGATGATAAAGGTGAAGGTAATAACCATTCATGACCGGGTGTTAACATATCATCTTTTATTACACCATCCCCAGAAAATTCGGGATTTGTTTCAGCAAAAGAATTTTTCTAAGTTTAGATAAAAACTTTAATCAACTTTGAAAAAAAAATTTAAAAAAAAATAATAATAATTTTATAAAGAGTACATTACCACAGCCTCAACGGCTCTTGCCACATCAGCAAAAACATAAATTAATTTTGTCAACAATTCTTCAGCATCAGCGTTACCAACAGCCATTTTTCTTTGAGATTCTATTAGTTCTTGAAGTTCTTTCATGATTTCGACAGCAACATTAAAATGTAATAATTCATGAATAGCAGTTTTGAGAATACGCCGTGCAATATAATCAATTCTTGTTAATAGATGAGTATGAGATGAAGCTAAAAATAAATAAAAAAATAAATAAAAATAAATAATATTATAAAGTTATATATAAATTAATATAAATAATAATAAATAAATTTAAAATTAATATTAAAAAATTAAGAAATTAATATTAAGGAATTGTGTACTTTTAAAAAACAAAGAAATTTAGATAAACATACTTAAAATTGTAGGAGGCCAACTATAAGAACGTATCATTCTCCTTTCGGAATTTTTCCTTTTTGGAAGAATATTCCTTTGTTTAGAATCGCCATTTAATGATATAGATTCCATTTTATTAATCATTTTATTTTTAAAAATTTTACGATCCTTTTTTGAAGTATTATCTAATGGAGGTTTAGATGAAGGAAACGTCTCATCATCAGTGTCACTAATGGCTGGAATGGACATTGGTTTACCCGAAACTTTTTGATTATTATTTTTTTGAAAATGAAAAGACACACGTTTATTATCGCAATCATTTCCACCATAATCATCATCATATAAAGGTTCACCAAAAAGTTCTTGATATTGATAAGACCTATACCAATTATCTAAAATATTCTCAATACTTTTATCAGCTCTACGTTTTGTCTCTTGGAGATCTTTAACAAGTTTTCGTTTAACTTTTGGGTAAGTAAATTCAGGGGCACCTTCATCAATAATATGTAAATTACTAAGATGATTTTCTTCAGCGTCGACAGATAAATCAGGAAAAAAACGATTAGCAGGAGATTTTTGGAAGGAAGGTTTACGTCTTACAGAAGAAAAAGTAATGCTAGATTGTTCATCATTTGTAGCATAAGCATCTGAATCAGTTTCCAAAGAGTCAGTTTCAGAATCAGAATACAGAGTACTACTTGAAGGATAAGATTTTAAATTTAATAATCTTTTAAATTGAGAATTTACACTACTAGGACGACGTGAAGGAGAAGGAGAACAAGAGACATTATTATTATTATTATTGATATTATTATTAAGTTGTTGATGAGATGATAACGATTGAGACATTTGCTGAGATTGAGATAAAGACGGAGTATTTAATGATTGATAAGGTTTTTGACTACTAGATTTTCCAGATAATACAAATAAAGAATGATGCCTTTCTCTTTGATAAAAAGGAAAAGCATGATGATTTGAGGCACCCGGCGATAAAGCAAAATATAAATTGTTCAAAGAACTGCTGCTTGAATTTGAACCCGAATTCAAACTAGAATTTGGACTAGTATAAGGAGTACCAGGAGTAGAATAATCAAAGTCATCAAATGAAGACCTATTACTTGCGTCACTCTCGGTAGCCGGGGACATATTTGATTGAGATCGAGGTTTAAATGATAAACTTCTTTTGAGTAAACTTTGACTAGAAGAAGAAGTGGAAAGACTTCGACGAGTTCTTCTATGTTTAGAAAAATGATCTTCGGGACCGATAGTTTGTTGCACGGTCGGTGGTATTATAGGGGAATGAAAAGTTGTAGGGATAGATAGAGAGGTAGGTAGACTACTTGGAGTAAAACGTTCACCCGGGAGGGAACGTGAAGTGAATGGTCTCCGGAGCTCTTTGTCCATAGTGTTACTTGGAGCACTATTTATGACTACAGAGTAAGTGTGTATATATAGTGGGAGAGATCTTGAAACGGTGACCAACGAGTAATGGAGTAAAAAAAGATAGAAGGTAACAAGAAAAAGGAGAGATATATATTATTTTACAAAATTTTAATTATTTTTATTTTTTTTCAACAAAAATTCTTCCCCACTTCGGTATATATCATTGTAGAGAGGTTTCAGTAGTCTTAGATAATCTACCCGAAAAGGTTGTGAAGAACTTCGGCCGATTTCACCAGTCCAACTCTGATATAAAAACCAAATAACTTGCTGAATAAAACACGAAAAGATATTTACCGAAAATATAACTCAGAATTAAATTATCCCCTTTTTTATGATCATTGGGACGGACTTGTGCTTTTACTTCTTCACTATGATCTTTTTAAGTTTTATATTTTGATATACTTAATACTTATATGTCAGAGGGGAAACCTATAGAGGACCAATTAAAAGAACATGAAGCAATGAAAAAGCACGTGATGACTGTTTTAGGTTACACGACAGTACCGTTCTTTATTTCTTGTTTAATCCAATAATATATTAAAGTGTAATTGCATTACGAAGATCTACGTATTAAAGTGAAATTTGGAAACATTATTCACTAAAACTATTAATAGTAAATGACAGTTTTTTAAAGTACATATTATTTATACGTTACCGCAGAATTTTGCCATTTAACAATCATTGCAGCAGACAGCTTGAGCAGCAGCATCACCCTCGACATTCTACTAGGAATAAAATGAGGCTTCGGACATCGATTCTAGTTTGCTTTGTTTTGCTTATTTGGTATTAACGTTGGCTTCTAGCCTTTAATGTTAGTTTGAATATTGGTTTTAGTTATGAACTGTATAATAAATTTTAATAAAAAATTTTTACAAAAAGATCTGGATTAATTTATTTTGTTTTAAATTTGTTTAAGTTTCGAACATTGTTACAGTAAATTTTTTAATACTTTGAAGATATCTCGGTAAACTAGCCAACTAAATTCAATATAAATTTTTTTATTTTAATTTTTTTTAACACTTCGGACAAAGATATCTTGGCAACCAACTAAATTCAATAAAAAACTTTTATTTTTAATTTTACTCCTGCCCGGATGCAAAATTGTCACCCGGCTCATTAGTGTAGCTTGAAATCGGGTGACCCGGGTGAAAATGGTTCGCATACAAGGGCCTATGAAAAGCCACTCTATGTACATTAGAAGGATATTCAATGGTATAATTCAATTGTCTGGGTGATTTATTTATACGTTCAAAGCAGACCTACCGAATAATTGATTTTGAGGGCAATTAATTGCAATTATTTGAATCCAATTAATTGATTGGTGATGCAACCACAGAGAGTCAATTAATTGCAAATTTTGCAGTGGTTTGCAAAAATATAATGATTTGATAAAATAAGTAATAATAGACATACGAGTATATTTGCTGATCTTGACTTCTAAAATTGTAGTTAAAAAAATAAATAACGATAAATTATAATTTACCGTAGCGATGTATCGCTACCCCTGAAACTTAATTGCTGCGTCCTGCGTCGTGTGATTTCGGTGTTCAAATATTCAAACTCCACTTGTTATTAGTAATAGTAATAATGATTACTAATCATAAGCAGAGGAACCCACGACGTGACAATTAATTTCAGGATTTTGCCTTTAGAAAGACACAAATATAGTATAGCATACTGAATCTTTTTTTTAAATCGGTTTCAATGAATGCCAAAGTTCCAAACAAATATTACATAGAAGCCTTTTTTTAGACCTTCCAATGATGGCAAACATCAGTGTAATTTATGTTCTTCCGGATCTAAAGGTAAGTGCAATGCCGTAATTTTAATGAGTTCGGCAAAAACATACCGTAATTCATTATAATTAAGACAAATTACAGCATTGCTATCGGATCACAGCCGATAATCATAAAGATGCTTTTTTTTAGACTCCAAATAACGGCAAACATCAGTGTAATTTATGTTCTTCCGGATCACTGCTGATAATCAAAAAAAAGAAACTGATTATACAAATTTAATAAATCATTTAGATACTGTTACAATTATTCACAATTAATTGGATTACAACTGTTTTTTCCAACAATTTGAGTTGCATAAATTTAGTTGCAACTAATTTTTCGGTACTTAATACTTTTATAGAACAGAATGTTTACCACTGTATCACTATCTACTGAAACGCGTGAAATTATACTGTAAAGATAACCGTAAATGTTTAAATGGTTTTATCCAAGACTATTTTATTATGTTTAGTTTTAAATAACTTTTTATTACCAATTGTTTAATTTGAATAGATACAACTCTTTAGTAAAAGAACTAGGCTTAATGTTTAAAATTGTTTGGTTCTTGTAATGTGTTTGGATTTATTAATCATAAATTAAATTTTTTATTAATAAATTTTATAATAATAAATGGGGTCTTTGCCTTGAAAATGACCTTATGAGATATAATAATTACTATGTTCCGTAGGGTCATTTTTCAAGGCAAAGACCCCAAATATTACAGTATATGGGCTGTTGCTGTCAATAGAAATCAAGCAGATTGGCATTTTAAAAAAATTAAATACCTTAAATTTCACTGCTCATATTTTTATGGATTTCGAAGCTACTTTCATGATTGAATAATCGAAAGAAAGCTTAGATCTTAAACTTTCATTTAATTATTCATTTATAAGATTTTCAAAATTTATCAAGTTATTAACAGTGAAAGTTAAAGCATTAATTTTTTAAAAATATCAATTTGCTTGATTTTTATTGACACCAGCTTATATTTTTTCAAAGATCTGTTTTTTTTTTAAAGGCTTTACTTCATAGTGGTATTTTATTGACTTATTTGGGGTTAGTTATTACAATTATTTTTTACAGAGATGAGAGTACAACTAGTCACATGCATAACTTTTGATTTCTTATTTAAGTAGTTCATTCATCTTAAGATTCTACATTAGATGCTATACCTATGATCTACTAAGAGATTATCTATTTAAACTCTTTGATCATCCATCTTATTAAACATTTTACTATTACAAACCTTTTATATATACTTAACCAGTATACTAGATTTGAATCTAATATTTTTTGTTGCTTTGGTTTGAATCCAATTAAGTGCAAATCAGTTTTTTAAAATTAATAAATTTTAATAATAATAATAATAATAAATATTGCATTAGTATTGAATCTAATTAAGTACAACCAGAATGTGATAATTTAGTAAAGTGGATAAGTTGTCATCCTCTCAAATGGTAGGTTGTGAGTTCAAAATTCACTAATAGTAAAATTTGGATAAACATCTATGTAATATATAGATGATATTATAACAATAGCATTTTGTTGATCAATTAAGATAGGATACCTATAACTATGATTATACTAATATGACTAGCAGGTCTGAAGTATCTGTATAACTTTAGTTATACAAAGAAATGCAAACTGGTATTGGACAGTACAAATCTAAAATAAGTTCCTATGGTCATGTAAATTCATAAAACTGAAAAGTTGAAGTTTATTTAAAAATTCTAAGCAGAAAGGTAGCACGGATCTTTGACAGTACTACTATAAAGACTAGATCTAGAAAATGAATACTAATATGAAGATATCAGATAACAAGAATCTTAGATAAAAGGTATCACTAATCAGGTTATCAAATTTCAGACCAAAAGAAAAAGATATTGGATCAATTTCAATATATCAAGGATAGATTACAGTTTTTTTGAACTATTTGAATTAGAAGTCTGAACTCAAAATAAGAGTATACTAAAAGTACTAAGGATATGCTATGAAGTCAGTATCAGAGTCTAGGTAAACTCTATAAGGATAGCTCTTATTAGTGTTCTAAAAATAAATAGATAGTTAACAATGAGAAGTCTTCTGCATAGAGGCCTGCAAATTGCTTATTTTTAAGGCCCAGCCCAGCCCGCAAAAATTTCTTATATAATTTTACAAATTTTTAGGCCCACACTGGCCCGCAATTATAAAATTTTGCAAATTTTT